AAACCGGAGCTTGATATGAAGAAAGCTGGGAAACCCTCCTAGTCATTGGCTGCCCAGCTCATGTTCCCAGATGTTTGACTTTGGGCATCTAGCTTAACTTCCGTGAGCCTTTTTTTATTTCAAAAACTGGTCTGAAAGTGAAGATGTGTATGATTGTAAAGTGTCCAGCTCAGTGACACACAGTAGGTGCTTTATCAGTCCAATTGTCCCTCTGTTCCATATGTCATTAATGTGGGTACCCTAACATGTTGGACAGGGATGGGGATCACCATGAATACTCTGGAAATGAGCCACATGTCCACCACACGTGGATCCATTCAGGGCGGTAGTGCAGGCAATGGACCTTGAACCTTGGTGGGTCTTAGAAATGTAGATTCAGGATCATGCAATTGGCTCTCATGGCTTCCGGGCTGGGTTCTTCAGTCAGTATCAGCATTCTACACTGTCTCTTCAATGCATGGACACTGCCTTCACCTGTATCCGCCCCCTCCCCAGGGCTCTCCCTCTTTGATCTGTGTCCCAGCCTCTTCCTGTAAGAACAATAGGTTGTATTGAATCGGGCTCACCTTGGTGGACTCCCCTAGTCACATCTTTAAAGACCCCATCTCTGGGCACTTTCCAAGGAACTGGTTTGAATTTTCACATGCCAATCTGGGGGGGATATTATTCGGCTATAACACGAAGGGGAATCAGCCAGACACAAAACGGCAAGCATGTGATTGCTCTTTCAGGAATGTGTCTGTTAGCAAACTGCAAATGTCCTGGTTTCTGTCACACCCGATAGCACAAGACTTTCTGTGACTTCACAGGATGTATACGTGGGTCTCCTCATCAGCAGAAGACAGTTCTGCAGTGGTGACACCCACAGGTGACCTCCAACCCAGTTTAGCTCAATATTGCACCAGACACGGTGACATACCTCATAGGTTGGATACTTGGTCCCCAGGACTGCCTTCTGCCTCATAGGTGCCAGTTTCAAACTCCAGGGTGTCTTTGTGCTTCTGACCAATTGGGTGTCAACTTATATTCCTATGACCCCACTTTGGGTACCATCAATTTTCTCTAGTGGCCCCGGAGACTTGGGAGGCATGGTTTGTGGTGTATCAGGAAGGGTTTGATGAAAGATACAAATGATGAGGGTGAGCAGTGTGGGAGTGAGGGGCACATCTCTCTCCAGGAGTCTATGTGTAAAAACCCCACAACCCATCCTTTGGGGTTCATGTGAGACCTTTTTGCATGGTTCTGATTCTCACAGTCTGGTACAAATCCAGGAGGGCCTTTTGTGCATATTCTTTTTGGCCTCCCTGGGTATCGTTCCTCCCTCTGTAATCCTGCTGAGTTCTGTGGCCAGCTCCAGGATGGAGGGTCCTGAGAGATGAGTGTTTATGTGACGTGCCTAGGGTCACAAGGCAGATCTTCATAAATGGGCCTGTCTCTAAACTCCCCTTCCAAGGAAGATCCCAAGAATCTTGATTGGGAAGGGGAGTTTAGAAATGGGAATGGTGGTCCAAACCCCTCGAGGATCTATTGTCGGATCACAGAGGTCTCTGTGGTTAGCACATTCACAGTGGCAGAAGGTGAGATTTTATGGGTGGGAAGGGGAAGGGGAGACTCACTGTTCAGTAGGTGTGGTGTATTGGATGATGAAAAGTTCTGGAAGTACGTAGTGGCTAGAATGTCACTGTGGATGCACTCAGTTCCACTGATTTTCTACTTAGAAATGCTTATTTTAGGATACTTTTAATTTTAGGAACTTCTTCTTCTTCTTCTTCTTCTTCTTCTTCTTCTTCTTCTTCTTCTTCTTCTTCTTCTTCTTCTTCTTCTTCTTCTCTTCATTATTATTATAATGGGTATTGGTTATTGAATCTAGCATGTTATGCATTCCAGTCAAAAGATCTACCACTGGGCCACATCTCCAGCCCCTAAGATGGGGTTTTTAATGTCGTGCTTGTTTTGCCACAGTGAAAAGGGAGAGGGGTAATGAGAGAGCTCCGAGGGTGGAGATTTGCTTCCAGACATCAGCATCCCATCTCCAGGACCCACGTGCTGGAAGGAGAGAACTGACTCCTGCAAGCTGTCCCCTGGCCTCCATCCATGTAGCATGGCACAGATGTTCCCAGCACACATGCATACAAATGCACACGTACACACTCTTCTAACATTATTTCTACTAGAAAAAGACGGTGAGGGGGCACTTAAGTCAAATATACAGTGATGCAAGCCTGTGATTCCAACACTGGGGAGGCTGAGGCTGGAAAGAGAGAGTTCTGGGTCTGTGTTGGCTATATAGTAAGACGCCCCCTCAAAAACAAAACAAAACAAAACAAAACAAACAAACAAGCAAACAAAACAGAGCCACGACCATCAAATATAACAAGAAAAACGTAGACCCAGCAAGTGTTAGGAAGGAAACCCAAGATAGTGTTTCTACCCAGAATAAGGTGATGAGATTATATAGTTGGAAGTGTGAGGCTTCCTGGACAGTTTCTTGGGTCAGGGTCCACAAGTATGGGGTCTCCTCTGCAGGACCTGGTCAGTTTAGGAATCTGGAGTTTTATGTAAGCAAGGCTGAGAACTTAGGCTTTTATTGGGGTTTTGAGATCAGGTCCTCCTCCTTGCAGGGTAGTGAGGCAATGATAGGGGGTGCTGGCAGAGGTCTGGGCGGTGCTTGCTCTGTGCAGAGCAGTGCGGGTGTGAGAGGAGGGCAGGATTGTGGTTCCGCCCAGCTGTGGCTCCATTCCTGTCTGCTAAGCAGGGGTAGTCAGTGGGCCCACCATGGGCCCTGGATAAGTTCTCACAGTGCACAGAGTCTTGGCTGCTGGGAAGTGAATGTGGTGGCAGGTGCTGGTTGCTACTGCTGCGAGGTTGTTGTCCTCTGCCCTTCATTTGGGGGCATGGCGCAGTAAGTTGTTTCTGCTCCAAGTCCAGTGGGCTGCCAGGGGGGAACAACTCACCTGTGTGTCAGCCTGGCAACCTGGCTACCTGGCTTGGAGGTGAAGTCACAGCAGGGCTGTCACCAGAGCCCTTGAAGAAGGCCCAGGGCTACCCAAGTCACCTGTAGTCAGCGGGGCCAGCCACTGCTGATGCCAGGAGTGTGGGGCTGTTAAGACCACAGAGTGGCAGGGCCCCTGGTACTCCTGGCACATTCTGGGCTCCTGAGAGGGTGGCTGGGGGCCAGGGTGCTGGAGAGAAGGAGAGACAGACGGCCTTTTAAGGAAACATTTCTGTGCCTCAGGAAAAAAAAAAAGAGCAAGAATGAGACTAGAAGCTCAGAGACACACAAGTCCGTGGCCAGCAGCCCTGGCCCGGGATGGGTCTGGGATGGAAAGGCCCCTGGGATAGCACTTTGAGGGAGTATAACTTTATTCCCTTTTGTGATAGTTCTTAGTGGGTACATATGCCTGGGGAGTTCGGGGTGAAGGGCGAGGAAAGGGTCCATGGTTTGGATGGGCCTGGGAGAGAGACCCTCTGTGTGTCTCAAAGTCACTGCCCACCCTTATGCATTGGAGACCCGTTTGGGCTCCGGAAGCCAAGGCAGTTCTGACCTCCTGCATTATAGCCCTCTCTGTAGGTCACAACTATCTGTCTGCGGTGCTCAGGATGGGAGCCTAGCCAAGACCATCCCAACCAGGATGTGGCCTAGCAATCGTACCCAGTTCCTGTGGCACTCTAATGAGTTGGGAGGGGGCCCTCTGAAAATCTCATTTGTGCTTTGAATCTTCACAATCGCTGTGGTTGGATTGGCTTGGGCTTGTAGAGGACAGACAGTGTAACCTGTGGTTGAGTCGTGGCTATTGATCAGGATGACCATAGGTAGGTCTGGAGATCGTCTCTCTCTCTCTTCCCCATCTTAGCTCCCACTCTGGGTCTGGTTCTAAAACATTCACCCTGAGTTCTATGCCCATGTGAATCCAGAACTGGGCTTTGGGCTCTTTCTGCACCCCCATTTCTCCTACAGGGAGGGCCATGAATAATTAGAGCTCTTCACACCAAATCTTGGGACCCAGATTGCCTGGGTTCAATTATCAGCTCACCTCTGCTGTGTGACTTTGGATTAACTGCCTGCCTTGTCTTGCCTCCACTCCTCCTGGGGAGGTAACAGTAGAGTCTGCCTTTCTGGTTGTTGAAAGGGCAAAGCACTTTATTTAGCACGCATGCTGGCTAAGTGGTACCGGCTCTGTAAGCGTTGGTATTGCACGTGAGATGGGGTTGCCTACCGTTTGGAGAGGCTGTTGCCTCTTCAGCCACCGTCTGCCTCTCTGTGGGCCTCTGGCCTGGTGCTTGGGTGAGGAGTCAGAGCCAAGGTTGAGGACTGAGATCCAAGAAAAATGTGTTGGCTGGAGAAAGGAATGTACTGGCCTCTGACACGTGCCCTGCTAATTGTCAGGGTGGCGTGGCCATTGAGCCCCCCTTCCTCTCTCCCTCCTAGAGGCCAAGTTGCCATGACCTTGGCTCAGAGAAGGATGAGGATGATCTGATAATGACAGTTCCCTTCCTAGTGGGTGCTGCCTCCCCCCCAAAGTGCTCTGTGCGATCCCTGGAAGATCTGGCCATTCCCAACCTGTGGGAGCCTCCCTCAGCTCTGACTTGGGGTGAGCCACTGGCCATGGGGAAAGATGGAGGGATGGGATTTTACTTTCCGACAGGTCTCAATCGTGTTTTTCAAGTATTTTAAATCCATCATTCTATACCGTAGAGGAATCGAGGTGGTGGGGGCGGGGGAAGCTTTGTGGTTACCGTAGGATTCAGGGTATCCATACCGCCATGCTGACCTCCAGGTAGGCGTGTTATGTTTTACAGGATTTGATCTGTGAGGGGTGTTTCATGTTTGTTGTCTGGTCTAAGTCTTTGTGGGTGGCCTTCTGAAGAGGTCTCCCTGTGCCCCAGGGAAGGCTATCCCCTTGGGGATGGGGTAAGTAAGAGTGGGCTCAGGAGGCCCAGGGGCTGCTGGGACAGACGCTAACAGCGACATTTTTTTTTTTTTTTTACTTCTCTCTCAGGTGGCTGCCCCTTGTGTTCCTCCATCCAGCCATGAACTGGTGGTGAGTGACAGCCTTTCTTTCTTCTTCCAGTCTCTTGCATGTTGGGAACTGGGTTTGTGGGGTGGAGTGGGTTGAGGGCTTGGGGCTGAGGCTGGTGGGAGGAAATGAGTCATGAGGTCCCTACTGACGTGCTGCAGGGCCCGCTCTGTGTGTCTGGAGATTTGAGGTCCTTGGGAAAACCATAAAAGGCCATCTTGTAGGTCCCCAGGCCTGGCTAGGTTACTGTTGTTTTAGGGCCTGTAGTACTAGGGTGTTCTGTTGTATCTCCTTCCACCCTTATGACTGAAGGTCTTGTACCCTTCAGCTGGAGGCAGGGGCATAGACGGTGTTTCCGGAGTCCATCTACAAGGTGGTGGCCTCTGCTCCTCTCCTCAGCTTTGCTATGTCCCTGTGACTCTGTTTTTCTGCTTTTATGGCCCTCATCCCTCTCATCCCTGTCATGTTTCCAGAACAGTTCGGACAGGGGCAGGACCTCTGTGAGTTGTGGGCTGTGGAGCTGGCCCGCTGCAGACTGATTCCAGCTGGGCTGACGTGTTGGCCAGGCTTCCTGCTTCCTTAGCCTCTCCAGGTCCCATTCCACTACATTCTGGGGGCAGGTTGGGTCTGGAAGCGGCAGAAGGGCTGTGGTGTGTGTGTGTGTGTATGTGTGTGTGTGTGTGTGTGTGTGTGTGTAAGAGAGAGAGAGAAAGAGACATGGGGAGAGAGAGAAAGAGAGAGAGAGAGAGAGAGAGAGAGAGAGAGAGAGAGAGAGAGAGAGAAGGATTGTGCAGAGGGGCTCGAGGTGGGCCATTCCTGCTGGGCTGGTGTGGAACATCCGTGGTGGTACCAGCATTGTAGGGGTTGGGGGGAGTCAGAGTCTGGTTGTTGGTATCCTTCACAGAAGTATGGTCACTGCTCTGCCCAGATGTGGAACACACAGCCATGGCAATCTAGTTTTCTTTTGCTTCAGCCCTAACTTGCCCATAACTGTAACCTGGTCACTTCTTTCTCTCTATATCTTGGATTTCTGATGCACTTGGGCTCTCAGATTCCTGGCCCCCTTAGGGCCATGCCACTCCGCTCTATACTCAGGTCATGGGCAGACCAGCTACAGAGACCTGACTCCCTCAGTCAGGCTCTCCTAGACTTCAGCCACCCCACTGGGGCCTCCAGATGTGGGGTGTTACTTTCACAGATCCCTGTAGCCATATCACGGTAGGGGTGGGGCTGCGAATGAGGCCAGAGTGGTCTGGCTAGAAACCCCTCCAGGGTCACAAAGGCATTCCATGTGCCAGAGGAGGATGGTCGGGAGAGAATATGATGACGGTTGTCATTTCTACTGAGCTGCTACCTTAGGACTAAGAACAGAATGTCCTTGGCTGCCCAGGAAGGCTGAGGGTCCAGAGTTTAGGGACCACAAGGCAGAGGCTGGCATCTGGTTCGTGGGTTTTGTTTACAGAAGCAAGGTCCAAGGTCAGGACAGAAGGGCCTAGGATGGTGCTCCTACTGAAGGCCTGCAGTTAGGAGCTGGAAGGGCTACCTGCCTTTGAAGGGCACATGTGCCAGATAGGCCTTCCTCCTGACTCTGTACTGTGCTTACCCGCACAGTGGTAGCAGCCTTGCAGGACTTTGGATGAGCTGTCTCCTTGCGAGGCTAGGGCCTGAAGGTGGTGATTGTCCTCAGAACCCACCTCCCCCAGCAGTAAGAAAAAATCAGGGGGTTTCACTCCTTCCCCTGGGTCCCAGCACCCCTTTCCCAGATCTTTATTCCTCTCCCATTTCTTGTTCCCCACCTTCTTGGTTTCAACTGAATGACCCCTTCTTTCTTTAGTTGCCCTTTTCCAGAGCGGGAGCTAATAACAGTACCTGCTTCACGAAGCTGTCAGAAGAATAAAACATCAGACTAATCCACCTAATGATATATATTCCAAAGCCTCTGGAGCCTGTCACCTCTGGAGCAAACCCTTAGGCTCTTCCACAGAAGCCTTCCTCTCCCCGCTCATCACTTTTTCCCTCACTCTGTTTTCGCACCCAGCCTTTATCTTGCTGAGCCTTAAACATATCAGACACTACGCTACCCCAGGGACATGGCTCCTTCTCTTTCCTCTGCCTCGAATGCTTTTCCCACAGACAGGCCTCCTCATGGGTCAGCATTTCCCTTCCCCCAGGAATCTCATCTCCCTTCCTTCTTTCCTTGCTCCGGTGCTTGTGGCCTCTTCCACCCTCTGCATCTTACTTATTTTGTCTTTATCTTGACTGAGGGGGTTCCACCCACACCAGCATGTGAGTCCCAGGACAGGGACTTTTATCTTCCTGGCATTCGGTAGACATTCACACACAGGGCACAGATTAGGACTGTGATAGCTGGTAGTGGGGTAGGTGGGTCCTACTGTGGCCCTGTGTTCCCTCGTGCCTGTGGTGAGTTTGGGACATGGGTCTGGGGCAAGCCACTGCTTTCAGTGGGAGGCCCCGTGCTGCCCTGCCAGTGGGAAAGTGGCCCAGGAGACACAGGGAGAAAGTTTGGCTCCCCCAGCACACTCAGCACCTGCTTCCTCGCCGTGGGTGAGGCAAGTGCTTTGGGCAGGCTCCTAAGAGGGAGGAAAGGGTGGGTTCAGGGTTTTCCTTCCTTTTCCCTCCAGTGCCAGCCTTCCAGCCGCTGTAGGCCACTGTCTGGCCTGCCTTGTTTCCCAACTTGGTGTGTCCCGTTCGTCTGTCTGACTATGGCATGTTCTGGCCTTGGTTTCTCTTTGCTTCCACAAGTTTTTTTTTTCTTTTTTAACTGACCTTGGATGAATCCTAACCACCCTTCCCCTGATTCAGACCCGGATATTCTGCCCAACTTCAGGCCCTGCTGGCCAAACATATTTTCCAGCCTGTGCCCAGGCCAGCGAGGGCCGAGTGGTTTAATCTTCAACTCCTGTTTTCATCTTACTCAACAGATGTTGCCCAAGGGATTGGGTGGAAGAGTTTGGGGGTTGCCCCCTCCAATGGGGCTCTAGGGGGGCAGGACGGAGTTAGGATGTTTGCCCTGGACGCTCCTGATGCATGCAAAGAGCTGAAGCAGCTGCTCTCTGGCCCTGACACAGAAAGAGTTTGAGGAATTTCCCGATGATGATGATGGTTGCGTGTGTTGCCCACTAAGACACTTCTTGTTGGGGCCTCTGAGAACTGGCACCTAGAGACCTGAGTGGGGTGGCTACCAAGGCATCTGAGGCTAGGCAGTCTGCACACAAGGGCTGTACCCTAGACACCTGGGTCACTGGAGACACAGCTTCCTCCGCCATCGCCAGCCTCACAGCAGGGGGTTGGGAAGTCCTATAGAGTGACCTGGAGGTCAGGTTGGGGTGAGAGTCGGGAATCTGGGCACTCAGAATACTTAAGGGCACGTGGTTTCTGCAGTAACAACAGCAGTCTCCCCCCTCCCAATTTGAGGTTTTACTTTCCCGGGTTTCAGTTACCCGATGTCAACCGAGGTCCAAAAACATTGAGTGGAAAATTACAGAAATAAACAATTCATCCACTTTAAAGTGTGTGTTGTTTCAAGTAGTAGAATGAAACCTGGGGATGCCTGTCCACTCGTGCCCAGTGGGGATCTGCTGGACGTGCTGTTTGCCTGTGAGTCAGCCGCGGCTTCTGCCCCCAGATGGACCGTCATGGTGTCATAGTGTGGGATTCAAAGTCACTGTTACTTTACTGAATAATGTCTCCACAGTGCAAGAATTTCAAAGCTGGCCTAAGGGCTAAGGGAAGCCATGAGCTGCTTCCTCTATATGAAGAGAGTTTTCACCACATATGTATAGGATTTTATTATAGCTGTCATTTTGGGCGGCTGCTGGAACCTTGGGGTTGCGTCGAGGGAGAGGGGTCACGGCAATGGTAACAGCTCACACTTTGTCTAGGTTTGGATGTGGGTGCAGGAAGGAGATGCTGTGCCTTGGTTTAGTGTGGCTGATGTGATGCTGAGTTGAGGCCACAAGATGGATTGGAGTGAGAGTGAGCTTGTCCTCCATCGCCTATACCAGAGCCATCCTTCCAGCCACAGACAGTGACAAATGTCACTGTCACTTAGACAACTCCTCCAGTTTTCAAAGCCTTTTCCATGGCTCAGGGCAGCTGGGAGGCTTGTGACCCATATGGGCACCTGGGAAGCCTGTGTCCATCCTGGAGACACAAGCGGGGCCATGTATAGTGGTTAGATTAGGGCTCAGGAAGCTAGCTGCCTTGCTCATAGGTACAAAGCTGGTAGTAGCAGGATGGACTTAGAAGGGTACCCTGGTCCGATTCCTTGGGGTTCTCTGAGTGCCTGATTGGGCTTCTCATGGTCGCTAGTGGCTCTGTTGGTTAGTGGGCTAGGATGTTGTGAGAGGACCTGCCACCTGTTCAACCATTCCTTAATTGCACCAACCCGTGGCTGTGCATGCAAGATGTGTGACAGTCATGGTGCTTACGTGCAGAGTTCTTTTCTAAGGTGGTTTGCTTTCATTTTTGCTTATTGGGGAGCCTAGAGTCTTGTGCATGTGAGGTAAGCACTACCAAGCCACACTTCCAGCCTAGTGGTAAAAGTTGCCAGGTCTTACACAGATCTTAAGTTTTTTAAAAAGATTATTTTTATTCACATATATATATATATATATAGTGTATATATATACACACACACACACTATATATATATAGTGTGTGTGTGTGTGTGTGTGTGTGCGTGTGTGTGTGTGTGCAGGTCTCTGTCTCACTAGAAGAGGGCACTCGACACCTTGGAGTCAGGGTTGCAGGTGATTGCGAGCTGCCTGATGTGAGGGTTAGGGGCTGAATTCCAGTCCTCTGGAAGAGCAGTGTCTTAGTTGCTATTCTACTGCCCTGACAAGACACCATGACCAAGGCAACTTATTAAAGAAAGCATTTAATTGGGGCTATGGTTCCAGAGGGCTAGAGTCCATGGCCATCGTGAAAGGAAGCGTGGTGGCAGGCAGGAAGGTGCAGCGCTCTAGTAGTGGCTGAGAGTTTACATCTGTTCTGCAAGCACA